ATATTATTAGAATGATTAACTTAAACATCTTCTGATCATCAAATTTATATATAATAATACAAAGAATACAATCTTAAAGATATCTTCTTTCTATGCTTATTATGAATATAATTCTTCATTACTCAGTGACATCACAGATAATGTTTTAAAAAGAGAAATAAATAGTCAGAATATTAGATAGATACAGAGAATAGAGTATTTCTCAGTATCAGAAGTAAAAACAAGATTAAAACTTTTGAATAAAATTTATAAGAAGATAGTGAAAAGCATTCACTGTGCTCAGAAGTAGTAGATAAAATACTATAATTAAAAATATCTTCTAATAAAGTTTTTAATAGAGAATTAAGTACTACTTTCAGTAAAGAATATCAAGACAATGAGACTATATAAGAAGCTCAGTGAGTGATAACTAGAATCTTTCTCAGTAATAAGAGTAATGAGTAAGCAGATATATGAGTTAAAATTATTCATAGAATTGAAATCAATTCATTTTATTTTTCACATTTTCTATTTAAAGCACTATAAGTAATATCTCAGAGTAGAGCTATCTCAGCTGAATAATATTAAGATTAAGAGTAATATTAAATATCTTATAAAGAAAATATTAAATAAGTGAATATATTACAGTAAGCTTTAGTATCTTATTAAATAAGAAGATTATTCATTATCAGAGAATTTATAAGAACTGTTTAAGCATTTGAAAAATACTGAGAAAGAGATTGTAAGTTATAAGACAGCTAGTAGAGATTACTCTATTATACATTAGAGATATTAAGTAAGAAATACTGCTTAAAGACTTCTCATTTTTCTTAAAGAGTTTTTTAGAGATAATCTTATAATAATAAGTCAGTGTCTTATAAACTCTGTAACACTCTTCTTCTATTTTCTCTTAAAGAGTTTTTTAAAAGTTTAATAAGATTATATAAGTGTAAAATTTCTGAGACAATTAATAAGAAAAGAAAGAGATATTTGAAATTAATAAAAAGATTAATATTAATTAACTCACAGATCACTGCTAATCTAATAAGACTGTAACTCACTGAAAAAGTAAAAAGAGAGAATCTCAGAGTCTACTCATTAATAATCACATTCTCATTAAACTCATTCTTCATTATTAAAGTCTTCAGTATCAGTATCTTTATCTACTGAGAAGTTAGCACTGCAGCACTGTAGAAGAGTATGAGAAATGTATAAAATATTAACTTATTAACTTATAAAGTATCTCAGTTATCTGTTTTAATTGAAGTGAGATTCTCTTTAATCAGTGATTAATCTCTACAGTACTTTTAATAACAGTATCAGTTAATCTCTTCTTAAGATCAGTCATTCTGAGGTGTTTTTTCATCTCAGAGATTCATACTTTTATCTTCTTTTACAGATAAGTAAGAGAGATCTTCTCAGTCTTGATAGAATCTATCAATACTTAAAGCTCTGAAACTCTTACTCTGTACTACTTAAGTATCTAAATTTCTTATCAGAGCTGATATAACATCTTTCTATAAGATAATACTTATAGAGAGATAGAAGTCATTATTATAAATATAATAGAAATAACAGAAGTAAGAGAAGAAACAGATATATAAAATCCTTCTTTTCTTCAGCTGCTTGACACAGCACAGACAAGTAGCAGTGCTGATCAGAGACTGTATCAGAGCCTCTCTACAGAGAGAAGATAAAGAAACTGCAGGATTCTGCAGATCTAACTCAGCAGCATTTCAAGCAGAGCTCAGGTGTGCCATGGGAGAAGAACTACAGATTAGACTTCTCAGAGTCACTGTTCTCAGAATCAAGCTCTTCCCAGGTTCCTCTCTGAATGACCACACAGAGTCATACACCACCATATTGACTGAGGGGGGGGGGGGCGGCGTTGCAACGGCGGTGAGGGAGGCAGGGGATGGACTGGACACAGACACACCGGCCGGCAGAAGGAATGACATCTCACTGCACAGTGCGGCTACTACCACCACGGCCGCAAGAGATGCAGAAAGGAAAGAAGATATGACAATGAAAGCAGTGCTCCTGCAGCTCATTGACATCATCTTCATCTTCAACCTAGCTTTCTTAGCAGTCACAGAGACTGCAGCCACATCATAAAGACATTTACTCACTAGAAAATGTCAGAATAAGTTCTTTATTATTCTTCAAGAATAATACTCTCATATACTCACTATTGTAATTGAGAGAGAGAGAAGAAAAATATTTCACAGAGAGAGAAGAATCTTTTTGAAAAATTCTATCACTACTGTTAACTTTATCTCTAAAATATATTACTTTTATAGAGAATTTTATATATAGAATGAAATATAATAAGAGATCTGTAAGTCACTTATTAACTATATTTTTCACATTTTAAATTAATATATAAGAAACTCACTTATCACATATTTGATTTGAATGAAGATGAGAAAGAAAGATCTACACAGTCAGCAGAAAAACTCATCTATTGATTTGAATGAAGATGAGAAAGGAAGATCTACACAGTCAGCAGAAAAACTCATCTATTTCTTTGTATTATACATAGTACATATACTGTCAAATCAGTTGATAATTATTACTATATAATAAAGATAACTTCTAATCTGATAATCTTAAGAGTATAGAGACTATACTTTTAAATAGAAGAATATTATTATACTTCTAACTATATCAAGATCTCACTGTAGTTTCACACAGCTTATTACTTTCATACAGATAATTTCATTCTGATTAAATCAGTTTTCAACTGCTTTATAACATTATTCAGATATATTATAGAAAGATCTGATTAATAAATATAAAAACCTTACTTCTATACAAGATCAGTAGATTACTCTTTCTTAATAATAAGATGTTACTGAGATATCACTTTAGCTATTCTTACTCATAAAATAAGAGAAGAGTAATCACTTATTATCTATATAGAATAGCTAGATACTGACTTCTCATTAAAGAAGTCAGTAATTCATCTTTTTTCTTTTACTGAAATATATATGAGAGTTACTGCATGTCTTATACAATCTTCTTAGTATACTAAGTATCATATCTGCGATATTCTCATAATAACTCTGTAGTCTATGAGCTCACTATTTAAGCAAGATAGTTAAGTCTACTTATACAGCTTCTCAAACAACTATCTCTACATGATACTGCTAACTAGCCACCGCTTCAGTTCCGTCATGTTACAATTTCTCTCAGAAATGATTTATTTTCAGATTTTTTTAAGACTTGATTCTGATGAGACTAGACTGACCGTGTGACCGTGTCTGAGACCAGGACCAAACTTTACAGTTGTCATGTTGCCTAAAAGCATTACTTCTGGTCATGATTTGTGTTCATCACATTGATTTCAAATCATGTTATTTCAAATATTAAAGATTTCAGATTCACTTTTCAAATAAAAATCTAGTTCTGAATAAAGAATATATTTGAATTCTTAGTCACATTTTCATTCTGATTTCATTATTGAGAATGACATTAAATGAGATCATAAAATCACTTCTTACTTACATAATATCATAACATAGTGCTCATTTGTTGAAAATTTAATAGAGAGTGTTATCAAATATTATTACTTTTCTGAACACAGATCATAATTCATATAATTTTAATTATGAAAAAAACATAAAATACAAAAAAAAACAAAAAACAAAAAACAAAACAAATACAAGAAAAAATCACATTAAAAAAAAAAAATAAAAGAAAAAGAAAAAAATAAAAAATAAAAATAAAAAAAATCAAGATCACAGAGCTGCAGCACTCTCAAAATACTCACTTTTCAGAGTCTTTGCAATATTTATCATCAATTATATATCTCTCACAGTGAGAGTAATATGACTGTAATGAGTTATTGTCTTAACATCATCTAATAAATAATCAGTATATATCTGTATAAATGTGAATAATTAGAAAACATACACTTAAAAAGTGTGGCCAGAGTGAACTCTGCTGTCATTTGAATAATATCAAGAACAGAACACTGAAATTGATGATTTCTCTCATCAATTTCACAGACAAGGCATGTGAAGATGATCTTGAGAAATATAAGATCTCTCAACTTCTGATAAAAACAGATCTCACAGAGAGACTCTATTTTCATAATATCAGAGACTGAGTATTATTAAAAAGTGTTACTTTCATGCAATGCATATACACTTACTGCAGTGATTCACTCTCTGCACACATGACTGAGGGTTGCAGCTTTCTCATGCTGCATGGCTCTCTCTGAGATGCTGCTGTCAGTTTGCAACTCACACAGTCTCTCAGTTCAGCACACACTGCATGTATACAGCCCTGTGTGCTGGGGCTGTGTTGATCATTATGGCCTGGCGTGGTACTCGCTTTTCGCGAGCCATGTTTTGTTTGGAAGGAGGGAGAGAAGACACAACTGTTGTTTTATTAAGAGAGAAATGAATAATTAGTATTATTGAATTAATTTGATTCATCTGCATTTAAAATTTAATTAGTTTATATATACTTCAATTTGAGGGTTTCTATGAGTGTTTTAATAGTTTTCATACCAGCTTGAACTTAGTGGTGAGTTGAAGAAGAAGAGAAAAGAGAGAAGAAAGAAATGAGAATAACTTATCTTTATAATATGAAAATAGAGAATTGCTGCAATCATTCTTTCTAGCAATAAAGATCTGTTTTCTGCATGTATCCCTGATATAGATTATATGATAAATGTATACAAAGAATATCAATAGTGCATGCATTGAATGAAGATAATATTGCTATACAATACTGTAGCTGTTTTTGTACATCTCTGAAAGCTGTTAATAGTTTCTTTGTCTCTTTATATTTGATAAGTCAATAATATATTCTGATACACTTCTTCTTTCATTATCATCATCATCATCATCATCATCATCATTATTATTATTATCACTATCATTATTATCATCACTATTATCATTATCATCATCATCATCATTATCATTATCATTATCATCATTATTATCATTATTATCATCATCATATCATTGCCTGCTTTCATTTCCTCTCAACACTTATTAAAACCAATCATGTCATTCCTCTTCAAATATTCTGCGGTCCTGCGGATCATCAAGGCGCGTGAGTGCTGTCACAGATTGAAGAGAGAGAAGAAGAAGGTGTTCAAGTGCAGAGAGACAGATAGCAAGATATATTATAATGCCTTGAAGAGGCTCTGTAAGAGAGTAGAATGATAATAATTTTAAGTAACACTTCTGATAGATTTAGACTGAACTAAGTATAGAAATAATACAGATGACACTGTCTATGAGAGATTGAAAAAGAAGATAGTGAAGAGTCTTATACAGCAGCAGTAAGATCAGAAGAAGTTCTGAGAATGATTTGAGATCAAGATGAAGAGAGAGAGAGAGAAGAAGAGTGTTACTATAAATAAGTAGTGATAGAAGAAGATTAAGAAGGTATTAAAGTAAGAGATAAAGAAGTCAAAACTGATAAGTTTTTTATTGAGAGATAACAATTTTTGATAACACTTCTGTTCTCTAATTGATTAGCAGGAGCTGACAGAGAAGAAGAGAATTGAGGCCTTATTCAGGTCTCAAATGCACTTCATGATTCAGAATATTGAGAAGGCAGCTCTGCTCTCTGAGCATGTCAATCTGCTTATCACTGAGATGAAACCTGAGACAGCAGACCAGGAAATGCGGGATTTTGAGATGCAGGTTAACCTGGCTGAGGGAGAGCAGTGAAAACCCTTCTCTGAGAAGACAGTGAAGAGAGATTTTGAGATGATTATCATCTCAGATGAGAAGAAGAAGAAGAAGAAGAAGAAGAAGAAGAAGAAGAATGAGAAGTGAATTATAAAGAATGATAAGAAGAATGAGAAAGAGAAGAAGTAGATTTTTTTCTTTTTATATTAGTTAGTTATAAGTTTAAGTTTTTAATTATTAATAATTAAAATTGATTTTGAGTTTTCAAAAATTATTGTACAAGTTGTAATCAAGTCAGGAATGATATATATATATATATATATTTAACTATCATGATTCACAAATCACTATAATGTATAAGTATCAATATTTTTTCAACATTGATATTCATAATATTAATATATTTTTAATGATATTATCTGATAACATAATTTGATAACACTCTCTTTCACAATATTAATATATTTCAAGAAATATGACAGAGATTAATCAAGATTATTTGTTTACTTTTATACATTAATAATATTCAATCTGAATTAGTACTAAAATTATAACTAAGCTAAGAAATAAGATTATTTTCTCTTATATTAATTCTTCTTACACACATCAGTGATCAGTTATTGAAAATAAATTATCATCTTTCTTAAATTATTATCATGTCTTCTGAATTCACTTCTTTCACTTCTTTTACTTCTATTGAAGATTCACAAACTCTTCAAGAAATCACTGTGAATCACAAAGTCTATGTTATTTACAATTCAACACAGAATACTCTCTTTTAATTATGATAAATGATTACTTCATTCTTCACATCTGATTCCAGGTCACAAAATTTATGAAAAACTTAACACAAATATTGAGATGAACTATGAAATAATTATCAATAGATTGTATTATAGATTACTGAAGAGTTATCTCTTTACTACAATCACTGCAACTTCATTCAGAAATATTCATTATAAACTGATCATAGCTCTGAAGAAATTTCTCGACATCTGAAGTCATCAGAATACAGACAATAAAAGAAAAATAATCAGAAAATTACTACTGAGCTGATAAGTTACTCTATTAGATAATGATTTTTAATAACACTAACTTTCTAATTTGAAGAAAATCATGTGAAAATGACTCTGTATCAGTACTCTGATTTTACAACTCTCATCTGATAACTTCTGTGAACAATTACTTTGCATGTGTATATCTCTGAATCTTTCTCTTCAATCAATTGAAAACTCCGAATTCTGAACACTTCTTCAAATGCTTAATTCAAATCTTCATATTTCACATCAATTCTGTCTTCAGTTCAATCTTGAGACACACTACAAAGTTAATATACAACATCTAGAATCAGAGTTGAAGAATGATTGAAGAGTGTCTCTCACAGTGAATGCATGAACTAGTACAAATCATCTTGCATTTATAAGAGTTACATGTTATTACATTGATGAGAACTGAACTTATTAAGAGACATTAATTGAATTTGAATCATTGATCAGTAGTCATACTGGGAATTATATAGCAGAGGTATTAATAACTGTGATTAAAAATAACTATTGAGATATTAGTCTCAGTCTTCTTACAATTACAACTGACAATGCTGCAAATAACTATACTATGATGAAGAGCTTGAAGCAAAAATTGGCTTTGCATTTCTGAAATGATAAACAAGGTCATATTCTCTGCATTGCTCATGTGATTCAACTTGTGATGCAAACACTGATAAAGAATCTTAATATTAAGACAAAGAATAATGAGATGGCTGGTTCTTGGGATGAGAATGAGATGAAAGTGATTACTCAAGTAACTTTTGCATTCACTTTGCAAAAGATAATGTTTTTTGACAACACTTTTTGATATTGCTTTTTGATAATGCTTTTTGATAACACTACTGTTAATTTTGAATAGATTGACTAATAATTTAAATATCATAGATTCAAAACATTGCTAATGTGATTTGTACCTCTTCTAAATAATAACAACAATTCTATGATATTCAATAAATAAACAAATCAGTCACATCACTGAATATGATACAGAATGTTAGAACATGATGAAGTTCAATATATGAGATGACTGTTCAGACTCTTCAATTGTGTCAGGTGATTGATCATTGAGTGCAACACTCTGATTGAGAAAAGATTCAGATATTGAAACTTTCTGATATGAAGTGAACTTAGTTGAAATATATAATTGATTTACTGTTTCAGTTTTATAAGATAATAAAGACAGTCTCAATCACTTGTACATCAATGCTGCAGTCAGCCTGATGAGTGTATAATAGTTTATTTACTCATCTTGAGAAGCAGTTGAATCACTCAAAAACAAATTCAGTCTGGGATAATGCTATAGCACAGGCTATTGTTACTGCAAGGAATAAACTGGCATATTACTATAGCAAAATGAAACAATCTTTTACAGAGTACTATACTGTAGCAGCTCTACTAGATTTCTCTCATCAAGTTAATATCTACACTTCTCAAGATTGAACAGAGAAGAAATGAGACTCATATATCAAATTAGCCTGAGACTACTACAATGTCAACTATCAGAGATTTGAACAAGCAGATGTTTGAGATGTGAAGACAGTGGAATACAATTCTCTAGTAAGTAATGATCTTTGATAACACTTCATATCACATAGAACTATAATACTAACTTTGAAACAGAACTTACATACATTGATTGCAACTGAAAATCAGACAAAACTACATGCTTGTAAAACTGAATTTGACTGCTATTTTCAAGATGATCTGATAAATTTACACATCAAATCAATTCTAGAGTTATAAAAAATTGTTGAGAGTACATATTCAACTGTTGCACTGATGACACATGATATTCTGATAATTTCATTGACAGAGGTGAGAATGAAGTGAAAGTTCAACTCAAGTTAAGATATTTATCACTATTATCAGAGACAATTACAAGAAGAAACAATCAAGAAACTCATGATTGTAAAATATAAAATTATCAGACAGTTTAATACCTCTGATCACAGTATATCAGAGAAGTGTAGTTTTCATAAGAAAGTGAAGAATAAACTTATACAAGAATGTATTTAGTTATTTCATAAGTGTTATCAATAATCATTATCAAATTCTGATTATATAAGCAATCACTGAATGAACTGAATGAGACTGATTTTGATCTTCAGTCTCAGTCTCATTCTGATTTTGAAAGAATGATCATCTTTCACAGTTTATCCTGAAAAATTACTCTCATTTCACTGTTCTTGAATTAAATCTGGTCATTTTTCACGTCATTTCTCTCAGAAATGGTCCATTTTCAGATTTTTTTGAGGCTTGGTCCTGGTGAGACTCACATCAAGAAATGTATGAGAGCAGATCAAATGAGATCAAATGTGAAATTCATGGTCCCGCCGGCCAGTCTAGATGAGACTCATATCAAGAAATGTATGAGATCAGATTAAATGAGATTAAATGTGAAATTCATGATTCTGCTGATCAGTCTAGTCAGTAGAAAGTAATTAGAGAAGTTATAGAAATACTTACAAGAAGCTTAACAGTAATTAAACATTATTTATAAAAATATTAAAATTAGAAAAATTTTTAGAACGTTTTTGAAATTAATAGTATATAAATATTAATAGAAATACTCTCTCTCTGTTATCTGAGTAAAATACTTCACAGATAAATGAGAATATTTACAGTTTATAAGAATAAAAGCTGTTATAGAAAAAGAGAAAAGAAGATAAAATTTTATAGACAGATCTGAAATATTTATACTACTTTAAAAAGATATATTTACACTCTAAGTAATCTTACAGAATAGTCAGATCACTCTAGTAAATAAAGTATAATTATAAAGAGTGATTGTAGATTATAAATATCTTAATTCTATAATTCTATAGAGTTAATAAAGAAATGAAAAATTTCTTATAACTCTACAGTGTTAAAGAATAATAATTTATAAAAATAAGTAAAAGATTTACTTATAAATACTTCTCTTTAATAAGAGTGATTTTATAGAAAGTGATTCATCTGCAGAATAAATCTATATAACACTTATATAAGAATCTTATGAAAAAATAATTAAAGATTAACTGAAACTCTTCAGATTAAAAGATATGAAATGAATCTATATAATAATTATATAAGAATCTCATAGAAATAATTAAGAGTTAACTGAAACTCTTTTATATAAAAGATATGAGATAAATCTATATAATAGTTAGAGAAAGATCTGTAGATTATAAAGAATCTTATAAAATAAGAAACTAAGTGACAGACTCTTTTCTCTTTATAATAATAAGAAATTTTTCCTCACTGAGATTTTTTATAAATATGAAGAGTTTTTAGTAAGTATTACTACAGTACTGAGTCTAATTCTATGAAATCAGTCAGTGAAAGACTTCATAGATAAAGTCTTAAAGAGAGAGAAGTATATAAGAAATTTCACTTCTTACAGATTCTTTATCTCTATTTCTATCTCTTATGTAATAAACAGAGTTAGTAGCTCTTGACTATATATAACTATATAGACTGAAGTGCATAACTACTATTTATAACTCAGTTTAAATACTATTATATATTTAATCTTTACATTATTCTTTTCACTGTAAATACTTCTAGTAGCTATTAGTATATATTATATCAAGCTGTAAATATCTGAATAATTGCCTGTAAGTACTTATTCTTACAATTTACTAAATCTCTCTTATAAAAGAGAATATTATTTAATATTAGAGAGCTGAGCTTAATTAAATTACATTATATTTATTTATAAAATAAGAGAAGTTAAATGAATTTTATTTACAGTTATTTATCTATATTATATTATATAGAATTATCTACTAAATTTACTCATTTTATAAGTAAATTTTAATAATTACACTATTATTAAGCTTTCAGCAGTTTGTTGAAGCTACTATACAAGCTCTAACTCACGTGACTAACACATATATATTTAGCTTTTACTAGCTACTAGTTAAATAATAATGCCCCGGTGGCTGAATGGTTAATGCGGCCATCTGGTAGCGCCTTGGCGTGGGAAATCAGAGCGTGTGAGTTCGAAACCCG